GTTTTATCTCATGTTTATGAACGATATTTGGTGTTGAGTAAAGTGAGTTAACCTTAACACATGAGTAACGTTAACAGGAAAGGTGCACCTCATTGCGCTCCCAATATCGTAAATAAGTTTAGAGTAAAGACAAATTGGGTGACTAGCAAGTAGTAATGGGAGAAATTGAGCTTTTCGAAACTGAGTGAACTGAACCAATTACTTTGCAAAATGATTCCCTGGGTGCGTCTCATTTCTTATTTTTGCATCTACGTTTTTTGTGTATTTGATGTGCTTTTTATTTTCAAAATGATATTTTGAAAAGTAAAGAACAAAGTATTATTCAGTTATTTATTTTGCTCAGAAAATATCATATGCATACGGTTACGGCCCAAGCCTTCTGGGATTAGTGTTTATTGTTTGTTTTTGTTTTTTGGTGCCGATTTGGTTTGTCTTTCCTTTCCGAGATTAAGCTCCGCCCCTGCGCACCGGCAACCTGTTTCGGTGCTGGCGTCTTATGCTTAAGGGAGACGAGGAGCATGGACGCGGTGGTGAGCTGAAGTGGTGTGTTGCTGCCAGTCACGTGATCACTACGGTCACTGTTTAAGCTCTGTAAAGAGCGTCACGTGCACTTGACGAGGAGTTCGGTGTGCATGGTTCGCTGTTTTATCAGCAAAGGAGCTCCGTGCACATCCTGATATTCAGCCAGCCGCTGACGATAAGCTGCATTCTGTTCTGTGTATTTGTTTGTTTTGATGAATGTTAATTTGCCTAGTTTAGTTCTTTTGTTTGTAGTATTGTCTCTTATTCCGCTAGTGATGATGATACGCGGGTGGTGTAGGTAAAGATTTTTGTCTAATAAAACGATTGATCTGTCTTTTTGGCTCGCGTGTCTGTTTATGTTACTAGAACCCTTTTTAAACGAGCATTTTGAAAGTAGGGGTTGTAACATAAATGGGGGTTCATCCGGGATAAATGTGTTCCGAAAAGTCAGCTGTAATTATTTAAGTGATATGATTGTGTAGAGCAGATCTGGTTTGTCCTATACGCACTTTCCGGGTTAGAGTAAGCCAGCAGGACTGTGCTTTGCGCCAGTTCTGGCTACGGTTTACTGTTTATTGTTTTAGTTTGTTGTTTTTGGAGGTATTCCGGGGGGGAGAGCAATATCTTAATCGGTACCCTCTGAAGACTAGTTAGGATGTAGTTTCTGGTGTGTAGGTAGGTCCGGGGTGCGTGTGGATTTTTCCTTCTTCTTCAGAAAAAGTTCAGGTTTGCATGAACCTGGATGACAGCATGCCCAGGAGACTACAGGCTGTCATTAAGGCTAAGGGTTGCCCGACTGTAAATACTGTCATACTAACAGCTGTCTGAATAAATTTTGGTTGATTGTAATCCATTATATACCTTTCTATCAAAGTTATCTAACATTATCAAGGTGAATTTGTTCTGACAGTTTAACTCTGAGTTCTTGTCATATTTTATTACCATTTTCTAAACTATAGCGAATAAACTGTGATAATGTGAGAAATGTTGAAGCTGTCTGAATATTTTTTTTTTGACTGTAATGAAGTAAAAATTTATTCATTTGAAAAATGAAGTTAACCAACTAACATTATACATACTCTTTTGGTTTCTGTACCCAATATTTAAACAATTTACAAATGCAATAAAAATATCGGTATCGGTACTCTGTATGGGCAAGTACCAAAAATAAAAGTATCAGTATCAGGCGAGTACTGGAAAAAGTGGTATCGGTGCATCCATAGCGCGAACCATAGTATTTTTGACGCGATCGACTCGGGTTCGAATCCGTCTTTTGCCAAACTTTTTTTTCTCCCTTTTCAAATCACATCGGAAAGGCATTTATTTTCAATAAAAATGAAGGAAATAATCAAAAAGTTGAAAATAAAATATTGGGTAGGGTTAGGGGTAGGTGTAGGTAGGGCTTTATTGTCCCAATAAAGTGGCATCCATTTAATAATTTGAATTAAAATGATCATTTACACTCAATACGTTATTATTGCATACTGTTTTATAATGTACTACAACACTGAGGTGCAGATAATTGCCACTATTTGCAATTAGTAGTACAGTCGTGGCCAAAATTTTGGCAGTGACATAAATTTTGTGATTTGCAAAGTTTTTTGCTTAAGCTGTCGTAGTGTTCATTCACATTGTTTCTAGATTGTGTAGAGTGATCAGATGCATTTTAAATAATTGCTAAAAGCTTCATTGGCCAAAAAAAATTAACTTTTCACAAAAAAAAAAAAAAATTCACAGTTTTTTGATCCTGACACAAAATGACCAGCTAACATTAATTGACTAATCATATCAGCGGCACATGTGAAAATGTGAATGAGTACTAGTCAGGTAAAATCACTATCATACTAATTAGATTGTAAGAGCAGACTGATGGAGGGAAGAAGCTCTTCCAATCATTGTGTTCTTGTTAGCAATGAAACTCCAAAACTCCAAATTCCAAAGAAACACATGCAGCCATCATCGCTTTGCATCAAAATGGCCTCACATGTAAGGAAATTGCTACAAAGAATATTGCATCTGAAAGAACCATTTACCGGATCATCCAGAACTTCAAGGAGAGAGGTTCGACTGCAGTGAAGAAGTCTTCAGGATGTCCCAGAGTGTCCAGCCAGCACCAGGACCGTCTCCTCCTGAGGAGTCAGCTGGAATCGTGTCACCAGCAGTGCAGAGCTTGCTCAGGAATGGCAGCAGGTTGGTGTGAGAGCATCTGCACGCACAGTGAGGCCAAGACGTTTGGATAACGGCCTGGTGACAAGAAGGGCAGCAAAGAAGCCACTTCTCTCCAAGAAAAGCATCAAGGACAGACTGAATTTCTGCAGGAAGTACAAGGAATGGACTGCAGAAGACTGGTGCAAAGATATTTTCTCTGATGAAGCTCCCTTCCGACTGTTTGGGACAGCTGAACAGCTGCAAGGGCCAAATGATCAGGTGTAAATTAGCCTTCTAGGTTTCAAAAAGCCCATTCTATTTTTCAGAAAGGCAGTTTGATCTGGGTGAATGATGTCTTGTATAAGTTACTAGACTTTAAGAGAAGAACATTGGCCAAAATTTTCAGATAAACGTTAAGGAGGGAAGTTGGATGACAAGACAAATACTGTTTGTGTGAACAAGAACAAAAAGTTCCTACAGGCTTTAACAAAGTTTAAAGTGATGAGGGGAGAGCTAAGTGGTTTCCCTGAAGATGTCATAGAGATGTTGCCGCTTTTGCTATCCTGTTATGAGAAGAAAGATGCAAGTGTGATGTGGAACGGATTTGAATTTATTAAAGAACAAAAGAAACAATATGATGGAGCACAAACATCTCTCACACACTCGCCGACTCGATTCTTTTCTCAGGACCTGCTGTGTGTGCATGGAAATGTAATACTTGACAACCCCCTCCCTCATTTCTGCCCTGTGCATTATGTTTGGGAGCTATTATTGCTTCAACATCCATCAAAGACTGTTTTATTCTTTCTCTATCAATTTAGAGAAGAGCACTAAAGTAGAGAAGACAAACAGCCTGTCTTCTCGTGAACGCAAGAGTCCTAACCTTGATTCAGGAGCTTTCTAATCATGAGTGGCATTATGTCTGATTATGGACTGAAGTCAATAAGATTTCTGCTTTGTTTCCTTCAGTCTCTTTGCCTCCATCGTTCCTCCTTCAGTTCCACTAAGATGATCATTAATCTGTCACATGCTCTCTATTGTATTATTTGTAAAGAAAAGTACGTATTACAAATTTGTGTTGAGATATGACAGATGTTTTTGAAGACTTTTTTGAGGTTAATAAATTCTTAAAAAGGCAAATTATTATTGGATATTTATGACTTTCAGTATAGTATCTCTTAAGGCATCTCTCTCTGGTCACATACACACTCCAAGTTTCAGGAGTGACAACCGCATTTAAATGTGGGAGTGAGTCCCGTAAATTATCGTTCCATGTGTGTACGGGAACACGACTCAGTCCCGAAACTGGCAGCATGGTAACCATAGCAACAATGTGGCATCTTAGAGAGAATGGAGGTCCGCAGATTAGCTAGTTTTGTGTTAGCTGCTGTTGACAAAACAAACGTGCGAAAATCCGCAAAACGTTATTAAATCGCCATCGGAAGAGGTGTCGTAATCTACTTTTGTTCTTTAAACTATTGCTGAACAGCCTACCTACACTCTCATGGCCGCAATGTCTGGGTTGCTTCCGAGACCACAGGGCTGGTGGGAGCAGCTGCGAGGTGCAGGGAGACAGACTGGGTCCAAAACCTAAGAATAGGCAAAAACACATACCTGCATCTCTGCCATTTACTTGCTCCGCACCTTCTAAATACACCATCTGCCGACATTTTTTGGGCTATTTCTTCAAAAAACTATTTATTTATTTTCGTGCTGTCCATTTGTTTCTGAATACCTTTGTCGGCCAATACTGCAATCAATAATTTTGTCTCCTGGTCGGTCCACAATACACCTCTCCCCGCCATCCTGTCAGATCTGAGGTAAACACTTGACGCCTGACAATACTTGCACATTGGCGTGCTTCTCGTGACATCGTTAACAAATAGTTGTTCAGTTTGGTTCCATACACGCTGCATAGAATTTCTGTAAACGCAGTTGTCACTACCTGTATTTTTCGGGAGTTAATGCGGTTGTCACTCCCGTATTGGAGTGAATTATGTGTGTACAGAACGCGATTAAGGAGTAAAAGGTGAACTGACAACCGAATTTAGCTGTATTGTGTACATGGCCTATGTTTACCAAAAAGTCTAATGTTAACTTACACAGTGAAAAATTTTTTTTTTCAGTTGTTCATTTTAAATGCACACTGGATGAGAAGTGTCATACCACACCAGATGTGTTACAATTAAACTTTACACACTACATGTTGATAATACTGTAAAAAAAAAAAAAAAAAAAAACTGTAAAATTACCTGTAACGACAGAAATATGTTATACTTGTTACAGTATTCGAACAGAGTCAAAAATGTAGTAAATTCGTGTGTCTCACATCTGGATGACTTTTAAGGTGTATCTATAGGTGATGACCAAATCTGCATGATATTGTTATTACACCGAATAAAATTAATTGGTCTTTCTCCAAAATGCAGGTGATTTCTGAAACTGCTGTATTTAAAACCTCTTGCCACGCTGTTGAACACTACAATTTCTTTCCAGAATGAGTTTGCAAATGACATTTCAGGTCTCTTTGATATGTGAAACTCTTTTCACACGGAAGACATTTGAAAGGCTTCTCTCCAGTGTGAAGCCTCATGTGAATGTTAAGGTTTCCTTTATGTGTGAAACCTTTTCCACATTGAGGGCAGGTGAAAGGCCTCTCTCCAGTGTGAGCTCTAATGTGAATCTCAAGGATTGACTTGCTTATGCAAGCCTTTCCACAGTGATGGCACATGAAAGGCTTCTCTCTGATGTGAGTATTTACATGATTCTTAAGGTCATTCCTGTCTGTGAAACTCATTCCACAATGGTGACATGTAAAACCGTTCTCTCTCGAGTGAATCCTCGTATGCTGATTAAGGTTAACTTTACATCTGAAACTCTTTCCACACTGACCACATACGAACGGCTTCTCTCCAATGTGAATTCTCATGTGAGTCTTAAGACATTCTTTTCGTGAGTAGCTCTTCCCACACAGTTTGCAGGTAAAAGGTTTCTCTCCAGTGTGAATTCTCATGTGGGCGTTACGGTTTCCTTTATGCGCAAAACTCTGTCCACAGTGTTGGCATGCATAAGGCTTCTCTCCAGTGTGAACTCTCATGTGGGCATTAAGGTTTTCTTTACGTGTAAAACTCTGTCCACAATGTTGGCAGGTGAAAGGCTTTTCTCCAGTGTGTATTCTCATGTGGACTTTAATGTTTTGTTTTTGAGTGAAACTTTTTCCACATTGATGGCAAGTGAAAGAACCGTTAGATATGGTTTTCTGAGCCCTTTTTTGTGAGGAAGTCTTTTCATTTTGATTGGATTTCTCTCCAGTCACAAAATCATGATGTTTCTTGTATAGATTTTTCTCTTCCATTTCATTCAGTTCTTGACTCTCCACTTTCAACACCAACAGGTCTGAAGTGAAAAAAGACAAATACAAGTTAACACAAGATTAATGGCACAAAGGAACAGACATCAAAACCAACCTGAAAGCATTAAAGGAATGGTTCACCCAAAAATGAAAACTCTGTCATCATTTACTCACCCTCAAGTTGTTCCAAATCTGTATGAAAGTCTTTTTTTTTCTACGGAACACAAAATAAGATATTTTGTGAAGTGTTCGTAACAGCTGACTGTAGCCATTGACTTCAAAAAGTTTTTTTTTTTCAGTACACAAGTGGAAGGTGAGTAAATGATGACAGAATTTTCATTCATAGGTGGACTATCGTTTTAAAGCATCAAAGCCAACATGTATGCTAGATCCAATACCCACTAAGCTACTGAAGTTACTTATTATCTCAGAATCTCTTCACAATATTCAATAGTTTCTTTAGGACACATCTAAAAAAAAAAAACTTCAAAGACTTCAGTCCAAGAAAGCTTGCCGTTATCAAACCCCTAATCCCTTATCACTTTACGCAGGAGAATTAGTTTATTATAGACCAATTTCAAATGTACCATTCATGTCTAAAATATTAGAAAAATAGTGTCCTCTCAACTATGTTCGGTTTTGCAGAGAAACGGTACTGCAGTCATGATTTCAGCACAGAATCCTTCCTTATTACAGTGACATCTTTCTTCTAGTGCTATTAGCTCTTTTTCCACCATAGACCACAAGATTATTTTGGATAGCTTGAGAATCATATTGGTATTTAAACACAAATATGGAGTCCCACAGGGCTTAGTATTAAGTCCTCTGCTTTTCTCCTTTGATTAATTTTTACTGTTATGTAGGGGTGTAACGGTACACAAATATGACAGTTCGGTACGTACCTCGGTTTTAACGTCACGGTTCGGTATGATTTCGGTACAGCAGGGGGGAAAACTAAACTTTTTTTTT